TGGTGCCCCTTAGACCTAAAGCCCATATGAACCCCAAACCCCAAAACCCCAAACAAACTCTCAATCCCTGAGCTCCCAAACCCTAAACTCCTAAACCTTGAACCCTGGAGCCCTTGCGTTCACGATCCTCCTGAAGGCTTGGTTTGGGGGACACGGGAATCTTCCAGCTGCAGTTGCGTAAAGTAACATTAACGACAGTATACTATATAGTAACGGCAATAACTGTGATTTCTGCAACACAGCCAATTGGGTATAACATGCTATGACCGTGAATTTCAGCGCCCTCTTTGCCTAAAGCCTTAAACCTTGAACCCCTGCTTTCTGGCATTGGACCATGAAGCCCAATCCTAACGCCCCAAATCATAAATCCTTCAACCCTAAAACCTTTACCGGGTCCTAAAGAACTCAGACAGCAACAGCACCAACCATACTAGAGAACAACACTAAACAAAAGAGGCATGATGCCAGAGATTTCTTGTTTCTGGGTGGGACTTTGGTCTTGCCGTCGGTGCTCAATTAAGGGATCTATAAGGGTTCCTTGAAGGGTTTAGGGTCTACGACTGAAGTTACCATACTAAGGAATGCATATTATTCCGACGAAACCGAGGCTGGGCAAGGAAACCACAGGCCTTGAACCCCTAAACCAAAACCCAAAACCCTAAACCCTAAACCCTAAACCCTAAACGAAAGACCCCAAACCCTACAGGTTTCCCCAGACCCTAAACCCTACGTCGAGGCCCCCAAGGGACTTAGTAAGCAACTTATATAAGTCGGGCTATAATTAGGGTAGGGTTTAGGGTTTAGGGTTTAGGGTTTAGGGTTTAGGGTTTAGGGTTTAGGGGTTTAACTCCATTCATGGTACTTATAACCCTCCTTACAACCTACTTACTAAATCCGCTGGTCTCTAAGTAAACCTTCTGCTCACTGGGTGAAGGAACCAAGAAAGGTGCAAGTATTATAGGTTGATGGGGCTGAGTAAGTTACGGGTGTGCTTAAAGGGTTCCTTAAAGGGATTCAGTTAAGGATCTATGATGCACTTCGTAAGTATTGTTATAAATACCGTTTATTGGGGCTTATAAGTAACTTTCAATGCAGTCACCCTACCAAGAATCGTAGGTACTAGATATGGGATCACAAAGAACTAAACCCTCAAGTCACCCTAAACCCTCGGAACCCTCGAGCCTGCTGAAACCTCAAGGAACCGCAAACCCCAAAAACCCGAGAACCCTACACCCTAATGCCTCTAAGCTGACCAACCCGAGAACCCCAAACCCTAAACCCCACAAAACTTTCGGCCCACGTCGCAGTGATGCCAGTCAGATCTCGGCACATCACTGGTCTCAAGGATGCCAAGGTCAAGGCCTCACGTCGTCATCAAAGGCTTTACCATTTAGGGTACTATAGTAGGGTCCTTTAAGGGTTCCTTAAAGGGATCTAGAAAGGGTTCTATAGTGGAAGAGCTCCTTGAAAAAGGCCACCTTTAGGGTAAACCCTAAAACGGTTTAGGGTTTAGGGTTTAGGGGTTTAGGGTTTAGGGTCTCCTTTAAGGAGGGCCTTCAAGTGCTTCTTTGAGGGTTTCTCCTGTAAGCCTACCACGGCTCCGGTGAGCAAACCCAAAGGCCCGCAATTGAGGAACGGTTGACGACATAAATCCTGCATGCAGTACCCATAATAGGGATGATACCAAAATTTCTTTAGTTTAGGGTCCGTAAGGTAATGGAGGATCTATATCATCAACAGAAGGTTCAAAGAGCACAGGTAGAGAAAACACCCTCTGTCTATAGCACCGAAACCCAAACACTTAAACCCTCATCCCTAAACCCAAGGAACCCAGTAGGGTCCTGCGCAGTTTGGCAATGCATGAACCGTAAAACCCAAAAACCCCTAAACCCTGGTTAGATCGTTGGAATACTTCGAGGGGCAGGGACTTGGTAAGTAGGTTGGAAGTAGGGTTATAAATTGGGGTAACTCCATGTAGGGTACTTATAACTCGACTTATAACCTACTTACTAAGTCCACAGCCCCTCCAAGTAGAATTTGTGTTTCGGCTCCATGGTTGCGGGTTAGAGAATTATCGGGACACCACTACCCAGACCCCCGGGAGGATCTAGAAACTAGATCCCCTGATTTGAGGCCCTATACTACTAAGGGTACTTTACAGGAACCCCGATTAAGGGATCTACTTTTTGGATTCTCCCGGCGTCTGGGTATTGGCTGTAGCTCATGATGTTCTGATGCTGTCAAACTCTTCAGTACTCAGGGATGACAGATACAATCCTAAACCCTAAATCGTCTAGGTTTGCGTATCTAGACTTCGGTTTTGAAAGAGAAGAGAGAATGTGGGATGTTCGATGTTAAGAAGCCATTTCGAGTTGCGAGGGTCTGGGACACACCACCTTTCGAAGATCGAAGCACCCCTGATCAACGAACCTCTGAACCCTACGACCCTAAGACTTGCAATCCTCAACCTGAAACCCGAAAGGAACCATTCAACCCTACCGTCTGCATCCCGGCTGCCCATCAAAGAGCCGTAGAGTTGCAGCTCCATCGCCATCCAGAGCACGTGAAGGCCCAGCACTGAAGTCATCAGGATCTGCGGCATTTAGGGATCAGCTTGGGGTTCTAGAAGGGTTTAGGGTTGAGGGCTTAAGGTTTAGGGTTTAGGGAGAAGGATTTAGGGTCTAGGGCCAGGCATGGCTTTGATCGCTGCCCCAGCTACCGCATGGAAAACCATAGCTTGGGCGGCCGGACACAAACCCAAAACCTGAATCTCTAGCAAGCTCTGATTTAAAAACGGGGCTGTTACACTGTGGCTTCAAGCCGCAGAATTACGATGATGCTTTAGGGTCTGGGTTCTGGGGTTTAGGGTCCGGGTTTCAGGGTCTAGGTTTCAGGATTTAGGTCATCTTCGTCGCGGCAGCAAAAAGGAACGAGAAGCCAAGCCCTTACTGCAACCCTAAAGCCCAAAGCTCGGGTTCAGGGTTAAGGGTTTAGGGACACTGGAGAGTCCTCAAACCCAAAAGGCCCCTTGAACCCAAAAAACCCTAAAGCCCTAACACCTTAAATCCCCAAAAACCCTCAAAAAAACAGTAAAAAAATCAAGAAGAAACCGAAAACCCTGAAAACCTTACACCCCGTCGCCTCAAACTTGCTGGACTGCAGGAAGTCCTGGAACTCCTCATACGTCGGGCGCCGCCTCCAACCGTATGGGACGGGAGGTCCAGACTCTGCACCTGTTGGGCGGGGTTAGGGTTTAGAAGGGATGGGGTTTAGGGTTTGGGGATAGGGGTTTAGGGTTTAGGGTTTAGGGATAAGGGTTAGGGCTTCGGGTTTAGGGATTAGAGTTGGGGGTGCAGGATTTAAGGATTAGGGCTTCAGTTCGGTCGAAGGTTCAGGGTTTTTAGGGCATAGTCTCTCCACCTTTGGATGACTTCGTGTTCTTCGACGTTGTCAAAGACTCACTGAAATCCGCTGTCGTCTGTATCTGGAAAGGACGGTTCATGTTGCCGTTGTCGTTGTTGTACTCATTGTCCCAGGCTGTCAAGACGTCCTCCGCGTTCATGGAACGCCTTCTCTGAGGCTTCCGGTTCTTCAACCGCGAAGGCTTCGGCTGAGTTGGAGCCTGGATGTGGCCATAACCTGGGTTGCGGTGCTGGGCTCCCGAAAGTATTCATGTATCGCTACTTCTCTCGGACCACAAAAAGGGGCATGCTAAAGTTTCCCAAAGTCAAGCTGGCAACGGCCTGACTCCGTCTTGCACGCGGACAGCTCAGTCACGTGCAGCTGCACAAGCCGCTCAACCAGATCGCGGAACTCGGCAGAGATCTTAGGACCACGATCCAAATCTTCTGCCGGCGAAGGCGAGAAATCCTGGGTTCTTGCGGGGGAACTCATTTTTAAGGGATCTGTAAGTCTATACGGGCGCCTCTAAGGGATCTATACGGGTTCCTTTAAGGGTTTAGGGTTTAAGGTTTAATTTACCATAATGGGGATCTATGGTAGATAACATAGTTTCCTAGCTATGGCATCGCGAATCAAGTTCCTCAACAATCTTAAACCCTTACGAAATCCTTCTAAAACTAGCCCGAAACCCTAAACTTTAACCCTAAACCCGAAGCCCTGAACCCTAAATCTAGCCCTAAACCCGAAACCTTTAACTTAAACCCTAAACCCGAAGCCCTGAACCCTATAGATCCCTTAAAGGAACCCTTAAGGATCCCTTATAGATCCCTTTAAAGGAGCCCAGGATCTGCATCGAAGGCTTGACTCGGGTCTTCTGGCGGCTCCAGGGCCCCCCTCCCGGCGCCGGAGGGCACCTAGGGTTTAGGGCTTCGGGGGTTTCGGGGGTTTAGGGGTTTAGGGGTTTAGGGTTTAGGGTTTAGGGTTTGGGGGTTTAGGGCTTAGGGTTCGGGGGTTTAGGGGTTTAGGGGTTTAGGGTTTAGGGGTTTAGGGGTTTAGGGGTTTACGGTTTAGGGGTTTAGGGGGTTTAGGGTTTAGGGGTTTAGGGGTTTAGGGGTTTAGGGGTTTAGGGTTTAGGGGGTTTAGGGTTTAGGGTTTTATAGATAGTGCACGATAGCACGAATCGCACACACACTTTTGTCTTGAGCCAAGCAACAGTAAAGGTCGGTAGACATACGTACAAAGAGCAATAAAACACCCCCCGCGCCTCTTAGGGCAGCGAAGAGAGGCGAAAGTAGAAGTACAGTATGCTACCAACATGTTGCGAATGCAAAAGCAGGCTGATTTTACACCTTAGGTGCAACAAAGCTCTTAGAAAGATCTCAACACTCCTGACGTGCCATGTCCCATCAGTTCCGGCCCTTTACTTAGGCCGTCCCGTCAGGGAGGCAGAACAATGGACATGGAGCAGATAAACTACTCTTACATGTCCGACCCGTCAGGGTGGAGAATACAGCACAACGAACCGAAAATGTTAATTAGCTGCTACTGTACTGCACAAGACGCGGCAGTCAGTACAGGCGGATCCCATTTTGGGTCTCTTTCCAGCCAGCGAGGAAGTAGCCCACATGCTCCGGTGCCAGGAGGTGGAAGTCGTTCAAATCGTGAAAAGCTGGTACCGCACGATCTTCCATTCCTCTGGGAACGTTCTTGTCCCGAGATGCCTTGAGGCGAGCCCAAAGCAGCGCATCATGCCGAGTGAAGTACGGTCGGCGCGACTGCGATGGGTCAATAGGGTTCCCCCTTGAATCGACAACCAAGGTCGTTGGTGGAGGCCCTTTTGGCTCGGGCGGACGCATCGGTGCATCCGTTGACGATCCTGGCACATCCCTTCCGGGTGGCGGATAGCTGGGCTCGGTTGGCCGCAGACGGGTAGCTGCCACTCCCGGAGAAGGGTCGCGTGGGCGTGCTCGTGGCTTCGGGGGAACTGAGCCAGCTCGCTGTGCACTGCCAGTCGCTCGAGTAGTAGGCCTCGCCTTAGGAATCGGTGGCTGAGATGATCTGCCTCTGATCTCCGTCCTCCCTGCTCGAAAGGCATATCCGATCCTCTCATTGACGCCCTTGGCGCCGGGGAGCTGTCTCGCGAACTTCGTGTTGATGAGAAGCTCGTTCAGCTGTCTGTCCCCAAGAGAGGCGAGCCCTTCCGGGACGCGGAGTTCCTGATTGGCAGGTAAGACCAGCTCAGGCACCTGTTCGCCGCGCTCAACTGCATATCGTACCTCGTCTTGGAAGAATCCCACAATCCTAGCCAAGATCTGTACCACTGGACCGGTCGGCTTCAAGATGCGACCGCTGAAGCCCAGTATGTCCATAACGTAGCCATTGCGATGGACGGCAAACGCTAGCAAGGCGGCTTCGTCAAGCTTGTAGAACCTGTCCACGAACGCCACAAAGCAGTGGTCCGTAAGTGTCAGGTCCTCACCTTCCGGTGGGAATGAGAAGCTCACCTTTGCTGCGCCGTCAAAGCCGGTGCGGTCATGGATCATCTGGCGTGACCTCGGCGGGTTGGCGATCCTCATTCGGGCGAAAATCATGAGTTGCTCAAGCCCCGTGATGGATATGCCAAATCTTGCATTGTTGTAGGCCGTGAACGGATCACGAGACTGACGCTCAACAACAGTGCGAGAACCCGCCTTTAAGGCCTTTCCGAGGTACTTAGCGGCCTGCTGACGAACAGCGGCTGGGCCAGAGCCAGCACTTCGATCCCTCTTGTTGCCCGTAGCCCGATTGGAGTTGACCTCCCCGCTTGGTTGCAATGCCCTGTAATCCAGGGGCTCACCCTTCCGGGCGGCAACTTGCTTTGCACGGGTGTTCTCCAAGGCCATGCTCACATCTGAGTGCGGTTCCAGTCGAGACTCACATCGATAGCAGCAGATTGTACCATCAACGTTGGATGTACCGCAGCTCGGGCAAGCAAAAGAAGGAATGCTGACATTCTCTTGGCGGCGCCAATCCGATTCATCATTGCATTTCTGATGGGGGTGCTTCGGAGCCACGTGAACCACCATCTTGTACAACGACTCAGAGCCCTGCAAGGCATGCCCTTCCGGGATGCGAATGTCTAGACCACACATGCTTGTTGGGTAGAAATCAAGGTCATAGACATCCTTGCATGCCTTAGCGGCGTCTTTCCAGGTGTCGAAATTGCGATACCCTAGGCCTGCAACGAGGTAGTTGAAGCAATAGCCATTTGCATCGATCAGTTCCTGGTGACCCCGCTCGCCAAAAATGGGCGTGTTGAGGCTCTTGTCTTTGCACGCCTGGGCCAAGCGCTTCCGCGCCGGTTCGTATGCTCGGTTCGCCCAGATCATCTCCTGAGTCGACCGGTCATATGCATACAGAATGGCCCGGTTGCTGATCCAATCCGGCGTCTGCAGCGCTCCAGCTTTTGTCTCGAAAAACCGACAGCCATCGCAAGCAGCGAGCTGTAAGTCTATCACAAATTCCAGCTGCGCGCCAGGGCGGACGCCCTGATTGGAGGTGCGTTCCCACTGAGGCTCCATCGCGAACATGCTGAAGGGCCTTCCGCTGTTGCCCTTCGAGGTCATTTTCCCTCCCGGGATGAGGCCTGTGTTGACGATCTTGATGAAATTTCGCCAGTATGTGGCGTGATACGCCAGCTTTGGCATCAGATCGAAGGCCGTTGCCCGATAAGGATACGGACCAGTGATCGGTAGATCAACATAGGACGGGATCCACTGATCATCGAGGGCCCACTGTTTGACAGTGGTCTTCAGCGGGTCGCTGTCGAGGACGAGCAAGCAGGCGTTGTGTCCTTGGAATGCTCGGACACGGGTAAAGTGCCAGTTTGTTCCCCGGCCCAACCGCGTCTCCTCGTCCAAGGCTTCCGCCTGGAGTTCGAACCGTGCTTTGTCACAGTGATCGGACGTCAACAGGTCAATGATGGTCATCACCGTCAGGCGGGACCACTGTTTCCCAATGACCTTCAAAACATCACCAATCTCTGCTGACTGCTCTTCGTCGAACTCAACAGTGCGGAATCCCTTGTCCTTGGCATGCCCACGCAGGTGCCACGACAGCTTCTTGCCCAACGAAACACACTCCATCTCATTGAGGCGAAAGTATCCCATGCGACCCTTGACATCAGGTAGCTGATCCGGTGTAAGCCAGATGGGTCCACCACTTCCGCGGGGATGCTCCACTTCATCGTCTGCGCCGTAGTCCACAGCCATCGGACCGGAGTCCCAGACTTCCGTCGGGATGTCGGAAGTAGCAATCGTAGAGACTGCCTCACCATCCATGACAGATGTAGCTGTGACATTCGGCTCAACAAACTCGTATGGAGCAACACCCGTCTCCTGGGCGACCTCTTCAGCCTCCTTATCCGTCATCACCAGGTTCACCGACTCAATCATTTTCCGAACGATTTGTTCCATCTCCGAGCCGGGGTCAACCGCTTCCACGGTGAGGTGCTCGTCCTCCGGATTCGGGTTACGAGACACTACATCCTCAACCGTGAGCTCCTCTGACTCTTTCGCCACTTCATTGACATAGTCAGTGGGCGGTACACCCTCAAGCTCGTCAAGCTTTTCCAAGCTGAGGATCGGCTGGTTCAAGACAATCTCCTCCTCTGGGAAACGTTGCACGGGCGGTGCCTCAGGTGGGAAAGTCACCATCTCAGCTTCCGCCGGGATGAGCAAGTCCGTGGTAGGAGGGATGTCGAGCTCTTCCAAGCCGAGTCCGAGGTGAAAGTGGTTGTGAAAGAGGATGCCACGCGAATTGGCCTTAAGCTCCATCGCGTGCTTCACAAGCCACCGCTCGAACATGATTGCAGAGCACATGTGAAAGAACCAGCGAGTGGTTACCTTCACGTTATCGTGGGTAGCCTCCATGTGAAACCCATCGTAACGCTCTGTCGAAAGGATGTGAGCCTGGGGATCGACTATGCGGATCCCTCGCTCCTTCAGCTCATCGGAGTGGCGAGCCATCTCCAGGTCGTAGACCTCTGGGAGCCCGTAGAATTCCCCGTTGTGGGGGCCAGCCACCAACGTGACAGAGGACACTCCCTTCCGGGATGAGAGACGGACCAGGGCATCTTTTGCGTCCTCGACGGCCTTGCGTCCCTTGGTCTCCCAATTGGAAAGGGTGTCATGCAATGCATCATCAACACGAACCCACGCATTGCGCATGTGGAAGGAAAAGCCTTTGTACCCATACTCGCCATAGACGTCATTACCACCCCATTGGATGATAATGTCGACACCTTCCGGTGCGAGCGGGTCCTGGCCGTTCTTCCACTTCTGGACTCGGTTGAGCTCCTGTTCCACGTGCCACACGATGTCTCCAAGCCCTTTTCCCCAGCGCATGACGACCGAACATCCATCCATGCGAATGTCCTTGGTCATCTCCTCCCGGAGTGACGGTTCCATCGTCCCCTTCATCAGGACACGTCCACCGTCGCCGCGGGTCACCAACGCGAGAGAGCTGTCTCCTCCGATAATAAAATACGAGCTTGGTTGCTCTTGATGCTCGATTCTTCGGAGGGCTGGAGTATACACCGAGTCTAACAACGCCGTGGCAGCTGGCATTAACTCGTGGTAGCCCAGGGTTTCCTGGGATAGCACATACGCTCTGTGACAGACATCAAACGGCTCAGTGGCCTTGAGAGCCCGTTCGGCGTTTGTGGCATGCCCCACATAAGCCAGGTCGCGGAGATAAGCTTTGACAAGTTCTGTCCACTCCGTCAGGAGGGAATCGCCATGGAGCTCGAAGCCCTCAATCGGCATTCCCTGATGAGCCGGGCTGTTGAAATGGCGGTGCCACATCTCATACAGGAGGGGAAAACCTGCATAGGGGTACTGCTTCCGCAGACCAATCCACTCGCCGTTTCGGATACGGCCGAGGAAAATGGCCTCTGGCGGATCAGACTCCGCAGGCTCCACCAGCTTGTACTGGTACGCCTCCTTCACAACGCCATAGGCATCCTTGAAATATGCCGGTTCCTCGAAGGCCATCGCTTCCGCGAGGCAATCAGGGTCCTTAAGAGCCCTGCGGAAAGCCTCGATGCGTCGGCGACGCTCCTCCAGAGAAACGGTGGGCAAAGAGGATGCCATCACTGCTGCGCTTCCTATTGGTTCTTCGCTCAGAGTAACTTGTACCGCAACAGCAGCTTGTCGAACAGGAAATTGTGGCTCTGAAATGTTCTTGAGCTTACAGCCATGAAAATAATTCATCACTTCATTTGGCAAATTCTTGTGGGAAGTATGCAATCTCCAATGACCTAAATTGCCTGATCTTTCGCCATCAAGAAGTTCAAAACTCGTACACTCATGATTGGAACACCACTTGACAACTCGATCCATCTTCCATGAGAAATGTTCCCAGGGAGCAATCAGGACGTAATGGCAGTTATTCAAATCCAATCCGGTGCTTAAGTTGACGAAAGAAGACCATAGCTTGCCAAAGTGTTTGCGATCATCAGGACCCCCCGCAAAGCGCAGGTCAACCCAGACGGTAATGGGAACATTCGACTTTGCATAGCCTTTGACGACCTTGAGCAAGTCCCTACTCGTCTGAGTACTGTTAAGATCCATGCTATGAGTGACCCGAACGACAGATGGGCTACCGCTACCACTATCGTCTGCCCTTCCGAGCAGAGAGAACGACGGATCATGTCCCCATTCGATGAGAACCCCGTTGTTCTCGGGCTCGATCCTCTTCTCGAGGTTGTCCGGCACGACGATTGGCGAAGCAGGCCTTGAAGGTTTGACATAGACATGGCCAATGAGGAAAATCGCTCTCTTCCATTTGTCAATGTTGGTAAAAGGCTTAGTCAAAATGTCGGCAGACTGTAGCAAGGTACTAATGTACGCGAGATCATAATGCTTCCTTCTGAACTGTTCCGATACCCATCCGAGATTGATTCTTTGGGTTTTGTCTGTGTGCCTAAATGCCGGTGACCTTCCGGACTCCATGATCCTAATAGTGGCCTGGTTATCTTCTAACATCACAGGTTGCATGCAATGTGGTGCAGCCATGATCAATGAATGATCGGATCTGATCTTTGCATCATCGGTGTACTCGAAGTCGCCAAGTCCATGACGGAGCTTGTAAGCCTCATAATTCAATTCGGCTTCTGCTTCCGCAGAGCGACGATACTCCAATGATGACTTCCGGTACAGGCACAAGATGGCTTTAGCATCCTTCGGAACCATATAGGAGGCATTCTCGAGCTCTTCCCAAGCGACAGCTTCTTCTGTTCTGGACCATTTGTCCCCCCGGAGCAACCATACATCTCGAAGAGGGTGGGATGCGAGCTCAACGGGTTCAGGGATACTGTCACCGCCTGAAAGAACAGCTACTCGACAATCAATAAGTTCATGTCTACCAGTCTTCGGTACCTGAGAGGCAACATCCTGATCTGGGAATTTGGCCAAACAGGCATCTCCCTTCCGGGGTGCGCTCGACTTTGATGCGTCTGAACCCCCCCCTGCCTTCAGGAGCACACTCCATAAAGCGGAGGATGGCAAACCAACAGTCCTCAAAGCAATATTGGCGCATACGACCTCGGATTCGGTAGAACTAATAGAAATTGAGGTTTGCTTCTTGCTGTAAGCCGCCAAAGGAAAGTACGTGTTTGGTCCGACCAAAGCCTCGAAGCATCCTGATGTACTCTTGTTATCATGCTCACCTGCATGATCCGCATCAGCAAACAACCATATTTTGCACTGGTCAATCGGGTCACCGATGAATCCCCTCAACTTCAAATCTAGGGTGGAATTCACATAACACATCAATCGGTGTAAAGCCCGGTCGCATTCAGCAGACCACTTGGTGACTCGGCTTGCCAATCCCTGAACAGCCCGTAAAAGATCATAACGAGCCATCCTGGCAGCAAACAAAAGTTTCATCAGAACTCGGCTAGCGATAGGAGCCAATTCACCCTTTGCCTCGGCCTCATCGTCGATGGGCCTCGCGATCTTCTCGTCGGCGAAAGGAGTAGAGGCTGACTTAAGGGTGTGATATTTGGGGCCAGCAAGGTCTTTGTACTTTTGTACAGCTTGTTCAAGAAAAGACTTCATGTCATACTCGATGATGTTGACGGGTTGTTTCATGCATCCGGTGCCACTCGACAATTGGCTGATGTCATAGAAAGCCTGTTTCCTAGCTTCCTTTTTAGCTGTGTTCTTGTCACGAATGCGCTTAACAGCAGCCACGGCATGATGCTTATCAATACCACGATCAAACAAGTAAGTGGTTCCCGTCCAAAGTCCCGAAGCCTTACCCCCCCGGAAACCATCGTCCCATTGTTCTTCTGCAGAAGTACTTCCAAGAAGCTGACGTTCGGTCAACCGCAGGTCGCCGATATTCAAGACGTCTGCTTCCGCAGCGCTAACAGCATACTTAGCTTTGCGAGGCTGCATATGATGGCGAACAATAACACCTTCATCAGGAAAGTACTCCGTATAATCCTGGGACGTAGCCGGAACCGAAGGTTTGGCCGCTGGGTCAGGAATACTCTTATCAAAGATGTGGGCAAAGGGATGGTCAGCTGTTCCCAGTTGAACTTTCTTCTTCTCTACATGTTCACACCCAAGGTATCTTCCAAGTGGAGTCGGGCTATCCATATCGATCTTGGACCCGATCAGCTTCCACCCTTCCTGCATATTCTCAACAGGTCCAGCCATCTTGAAATCATCAACGTAGACGGCTAAGAGTAGGCGAAGCTTAGGATGAAAGAAAACCGAAGGCCACGAAGAGGGAAACAGAAGATCAAAACCCACTTGTTTGAGTCTCTGCTCACAATGCTTCTCCCAGAAGCCCCCCGAATCAGGGTGTCCGTACAGCGCAAGGAAAAGCCGAACTACTGGATCCTTGAACTTGCCAACCCAGGACTTAGGCCACCGCTCCCTTGGTAATCGAACCCAAGTTTCAGCACCTTTCAACGTCGTCTGAGTGTAAGCTTGCTTACCGTCGGCCTGTTCACAGGCGAAACCTGGCTGAGATCCGTACGTATCCAGCACCTTGCCAGCCTCCATCGAAGCAGGGCTCGAACCTAACTCCGAGAACAGGGCGGCGTTGCTGCTTTCGTCCTGGACATTATTACCCTGGAAGACCGTACGGCTTTGAATTTCCTCAGGGGATTTCCTTTGGGGAGTTCGCTCCCTTTTTCTACACAGATTTCGAAAACACGTCCAACATGGGCCTTGCGACCCCGTCTGACGGCTTCCGCCGAGATCTCAGACCACTCCCGTGGGTTATCCATGTCCCATGCTCGCTTTTGCATCAACTTATCCCATTCCACGTCAAGTGATTTCTGGGCGTCATTGTTCTCCGCGAGCTCCTTCTTGCCAACCGGACGAGCCACTAAGGCCATCATAACTTCCAGCTCAGATTGGGTGAACTGGTGGTCATTACCAATCTTTTCGCGATGTTCCCCACTTCGTGGGATCGTTGGCATAGTCGGATAGGGTTCCCCCACGATATGAGCACTGCTAGTACCCAAGGGTAGGATCTCAAAGATGGTTTTGCCGGTCCATCTAAAAGGCAATTTCTTGTTCCTTCTTCGCGGGTTTGTCCAATCATCTTCATCAGCAACAGTGTCCTCCGTTCCCACGGGGATGATCTGCAAGATCCTTGTCGGCTTTATCCTAGAAGTGGGAATGGGACAATCGGTGATATCAGGAGAGAAAAGTTCTCGTCTAGGAACACAATGATACCGCACTAACTTGTTTCCCTTGATCTCCCATCGATCTCGGGATGCACCAAGCGTTGCAGCAGGCTTTGAACTCGATGATCCGCCACCTGCCCGATCGGCACCTTCATGATATTCCCTAGCGATTTTCGATGCTTCTTCCGCTATCGCCTTATCTTTCTGCCTCTTGGACAAATTGACCCATATATGAGAAGGAATGCTATCCGGCTTCTTTGAACCTCTGGACCCTCCATATCTCCTACCAAGAGTTCCACTGGAGTCATAGAATCGTCCGCCTTCGGGCAACTCAACGAGGTCACCTGATTTGGGATCAATAACTTTAGGTACTTCTACTTCAGCCTCACCGTCCCCAGGAGGATCTACGACTGATTCCGCATCCTGATTTCTCAGAGATTCAACGACAGGCTTTTCGATGGCGTCATGCGCTAGCCCGTCTCGGACACGGTTATAACGTTCGACCATGGGGAAAGTGAACTCACCGTCAGGCACTTTCAATTGATGCACCTTCGTAGGCTTGTGGTACTCGTAGAAGTCACTTCCATTCAGCTTGGATATCGGAACTACCAACATCTCTTCACGCCAACGCATTCCCGGTTGGAAGTGATAACCCATGAAGATCCCATGTTCTGATGAACTCTCAAATCTTTCGTACCCTTGCAGCTTCCGCTGTTCTCGAGTACCGACCCAGTAGTCTACTCGGCAACCAAATGGAATCAATGGCCCATGAAAGTCCTTGCCGAACCGCAAAGTCCATGAAGAGTACTTCGTACCATTGGGATGGCTTATGTTATGGGCAACACAAGCATGTTGTAAGGCATGGGGCCAATAAGCATGAGCCAAACCGGCTTGCTCCAGATTCGCTCTGGTGCCTTCCGTAACAGTCCTGATCGCACGCTCAGCCATGGCATTGGACTGATGGATATAGGCGCTCACCCCCCCCCGGTGACAGACCACGGGTCTAAAAAACACCGTGGACAACGATATTCTGTGAAGCAAAACCGTTACATGAGGTATATAGTATAGCACCAGACGTGCGGCACATGAGTTACGTAATAGTCTTGTGGTAGTATCGGTATTAGGGTGAGTATTGTTATTAATATTAGTACTATTGCTTGCTGTAAGTATACGTATCAATATTGCCAACTATAAATTAGTGTTAGTGCTCATGTTCGTGTTAGAGTTAGCGCTAGTGCCAGTGTCAATGTCAGTAATACAGCACCACTGCTACGAGTAGTATCAGTATCAGTCTTAATGCTGGGTTTAACAGCAGCTTATATTCGCAGAAGTGCTAGTATTAGTATCAATATTAGAACTAGTTAGTTTTGATATGTTAGTATATTGATAGTCTCGTATATTAGCAGATTAGTATATCAATACATCAATGTATTCGGACAGCAAAATATTTGCATACTTGTATACTAGTATATTTTACATGTTAGTACAACTGGTGCATGACTACACTACTATACTGCTGTATTAGCTTACTAGTATATTGACATACCAGTATATTCGTACGTTAGCATATTAGTGTACGAATATGTGTACTATATTACTGTTTTATCTAATCATGTATAAGTATATCAGTATGTTGGCATATTAGTATACGAACTTGTCATGTCGGTATTCTTGCATAGTGCAGTAGCCGTATATGATTATAGTCACATATTCGTATAGTATATTCATACAACAACGAGAAGTATATTGATACATTGGTATATGGGTATATGCCTATGCCAAAGCATTAATACATGAATGCACTGATGTATATATCTGTATCTTAAGATAGTGGTACGTATCTTATGTACATGAGTATATGCAGGTGTCTATTAGTAATGGTATTAGTTTTCATATCAATATGAATATACTATTGGTATTCGTAGGAGTATTAATGTCAATACTAGTAGAAGTAGGACTATTTATACTCGTAATAGCCATAATATGAGTGTTCATGCTGGTAATACTAGTGGCATTCTTGAATATGCAGCAGATTATCAAAGTCCGTATTAGTGTTGGTGATAGCACTACTGTTAACGCACAAGGGTTTACGTATTCGTATTCGTAGGAGTATAAATAGCTATGTAAATATTGATGTTAGTATAGATTTTGTGTTAAGTATTAGCAGTAGTGTTAGCGTTAGTACTATCATATTATTGATGATATACATTCGAAAGAATGTTTGTATTGTTATTACTCTTGACCACGTGAAATTCTAACAGTTGAATTCATGAGTGAGTTAAAGGATTTGTATTTTAATATGGTGGTATGCATGTTTATGTACATTAGTACATACAGGTGTGTGTTAGTATTGGTATTATTATACATTATTATCAATATGAATATGGTTATTGATATGCGTAGGAGTACTAAGAGCAATACTAATCAATCTTAGTATTTGTGTTATGCATATTCGTACTAAGCTTTATAGAAGTGTAATATTAGTAGTAATGCTGGTATTAGCTTGAGCATTCAACAAATGATCAATGTCAGTATGTTCAATGGCAATACTATATGTAGGAGTATCAATACATATATGTATATATAGATATACAGATAGATAGAGAGATATTCGTGTAAATATGGGCATGAGTATTGACAGCCCTTGCCTTTGCAAGTAATCTGGTCCGATGCGGAGACTAGCACGACAAGGCGCGCGGGTGTCCTACCAAGAAAGGAATTACAGAGCACACGTGTATGGATGAGGGTTGTGCTGATACACTACATAGTAAGCACTACACAGTAATCTTACTTGAGTCATATATAGAACAGATTCCAGCATTTCCAAAATTTCCAAAATTTCCAAAATTCTCTCCCCTAACTTTCCGCATTTCCAAAATTTCCAAAATTTCCAAAATTTCCAAAATTTCCAAAATTTCCAAAATTTCCAAAATTTCCAAAATTTCCAAAATTTCCAAAATTTCCAAAATTTCCGAAATTTCCGACCTAGTCGAAGGATTTTTCCAAAACATAAGGGCGGACTTTTTGGAAATTTTGGAAATTTTGGAAATTTTGAAAAAATTTTGGAAATTTTGGAAATTTTGGAAATCCGGAAAGTTAGGGGAGAGAATTTTGGAAATTTTGGAATTGGCTTTGAAAGCTGAGTGCCCCCTCCCCCCGATCACAGACCATGCACTACGACTGAGTCGAAAGGGCATGGTCTGTCATGGGGGGGGGGTGACCATATAGGCCTTAGAATGTTCATGCTTCCAGCCCATTTCTTCTACTGCCCCATTAATTTCAGGAGCATTGTCACTGTAGAAAATGCCAACATCTTCATTGTTAGCAACAAAGTGGTTGAGCGCCTTGTAGCACTCGTCCTGAGACTTCCGTCCGGATGGATAGGCCGCGAGGAAACCCGTTGCCACGTCCTTCATAACCAAAGCTAATCGCGAATCCTTAATCTCTTCTTCGTTGTCGCGACAGACAATGAGATGATCCCCAGTGAGATGGTCGCCGAATTTCTCAGACTCAATGAATCTGGAACCATTCGTTTGATACGAAGGCGGCTTGAACATCTTCCCTCTTTGGCATGTAGGGCAAAAGGGGTTCTTTGGGACGTGTGTCATCAGATGATGTTTGCTCTTAGCTTCCTCACGTAAAACCTTCTCTCCCTTCGAACGCTTATCTGCCTCAGCAGGAACAGGAGGAGGAGGTGGCTGATCCTCGGCACTTTTCAACTCCCCGGCTTCATCGAAATGCTCCTCAATATCAAAAAGATCAGACATGTCTGCACCCTTTTCAAGCTCAGGCTCAGGCTTCCGCCCGGCATCAGGCTTACTGGGCTTAGACTTGGCCTTACTCTTCATCAGAGGAGGAGCTGGTTCAGGAACCTTATCTTTCTCGGCTTCGTCCTTCTTCTTCTTCTTCACAAAGTCGTAAAGAGTGAGCTCTTCGTCGCTGTCGCCGGTAATCAATGATGGAACAAATGGTAACCGTCTTGATGAATTCAACTGAAACCCAAGCGACATTAGCGACTTTGACTTTTCCCAGCTCAAACCGTCTACATCCCGAATCGTGTATGCAGTGATGGTCCATCGATCACCTGTCCAAGGCTGTGCCTGATGCCAAAGCTTGGGGTGGAAGGATAACATTCGATCATGAGTGTCGTAGACTCTCCCATTGACTTCGAGTCCCCCCGTAACCTTGACGCACTTTGATTTCCCACCAGCTACACCTTCTCTGCGAAATACGGGAAAGTCGTCCTTCTGCTCAACCCATACGGAACCACCTTGATAGCTTCCAACGCCTAGAGTGTGATTGAGCGAGTCATCATGGTTCAACAAGTCTCGATGCACCCGGCGATTGCCACCATGGTTAATGCAGATGGACGTAAAGGTATCTTTCAACCCTCTTGACTTCATGAAGGCGATCAGGTACTTGGTCAGCTGAGCATGACGGTCTACAGAAGTTGTGATTCCAGTCATACCGCTAAAAATCCAAGCGCCGATGATTATGTAGTCCCTGCCAACTTCATCTTCAACCGAGTCGTCATTTTCAGTAGCTTTCATTCTCCTCGAATTCCCTGTAGACTTGAATGGTGTCAACTTCAAAAGTTTGTAACACGATCCCAGACGAAAGTCGCCGTTGATCCGAAGTTCCCTTGCATATCCCTCAGCCTCTTCAAGCGAAAGAACCAAATCATTCTTATGGTCCTCATCGGGCTGGGGCTTCCGCCTCGCAGGTACCGCCACACCTTCCTTCCACGATTTGAGGTAGGGGACGTAATCCTTCACATCCATATATATCCGCTCACCGCTGGGTGACTGAAAGTAAGGTCTTGTACCCGATCTCCAAACGAAATCGAATCCCTCTTCCATGCACCTGTAACCAACGGATAGAACAGAGGGTGTGCTAGGCAACACGTATGGATGGCTGTCGATTCCAAGTGAAGGAACTGCGATGTTAGACTGAATCTCAGCAGTGCTAGGCCCATTAGCCGTCACAATACCGATTGGATTCTGGGAACGATGGCTTCTCAAAGATCCGAGATCCCCCTGTGAAACCAGGTCCTGGGCGCTGCCGGTATCCGCGATCCACTCAATGTCGAGCTGCTGGGCTTCCGCTTTGGTAGCTGCAACACAGGTAGCTTCAATGTGTTTCGGAATGCACTTGTCGCAACCGAATTCCGTGTCACACTCATAACCACATTTAGCCCTTATCCCGGAACCATATGCATCCAGAGTTGCTTTAAGCATCCTGGCAGTCGTCAGTGCATCTTTGACGTCCTGTTGACTAGGTCTAGGAGGTTCCCCACCGAAGGACTTCAAGTACCTCCGTGTCTCGGGTTCTGTCGGCAACATCTTTCCGTCAGGTGGGATGTTGATGAGCATCGGATTATCGTCGAAACGAATAGCTGGCAACGCACATGAAAAGGTAGCTGACATGTCACCACGACTATCGGGCATATCCTTCCGGAATGCATAAGCAGCGTCGGCTTGGGTACCCGATGCCGCGGCGATCAATGCCCCTAGGATGCAGACCGCAGCGGGAACTTTTGGTGATTTTGGACCCTTTCGCTTGTCCGAACCCTTGCTGCCCTTAGAGTTCTTCGACCCCTGAGAGCCCTTCGAGTTGGACCGCGATTTGCGATGGCCCTTCTTCTCCTTCTTTTCTTTCCCTTTGCTGCCTGCGCTTCCTGGTCTTCCCCCCTGAGAGCCGCCTTGTGACGCCGCAGCAGCGCTTGGCTTGCCTGTGTGGAGGAACTTGCATGCACTTCCTTTGTTGCATCGCCCACTCTTCCAGAACTTGCATTCTCTGGGTTTTCCGTCGTTGCCAGACGGTGACTGAGCGCGACCTCCACCTCTTGAATGCGACCGGCCTCTCTTCTCAGGGATCTCATGCTTGTACTTGCATTTGTCTCCTTTGCTACACTTACCGTTCTGTACGAACTCGAAACAAAATCCCTTAGGGACGAACTTCTTCTTGGGAGCGGGGGCAGATGGTTTCCCATCAGCACCATATTGCTTGGCAATCCGTTCCCGGTTGCGTTCAAGACGCTTGCGACTCAAGTAGTTCGTAGCCGCATCATACAAAAACTTGTAGGTCTTCTCTGGCTGCCCTGGTGTTGCCCTTTCATAGATGTTGATATCATGTGCGAGGTCTTTGAAGCGCTTAATCTGCCTATGGAACAAGGGCTCGAGGAAGTTCTCATCGGGGGTAGTCTGGATCCCTGACAATACAGTTTCCCAGTTGTGCATGAAAGTCTCAAGCTTCTCGTTGACCATCTTGACTGACAAGAGATCCTCAAACTCGTAAACTGAACCATGCTGTGCGTTGGTAGAAAAGAAATTATCCAACTTGAAAAGCACTTGTCGTCCCCGAACAAGTCTCCCGGCGTTTGCCTCTCGCTCCTTGAAGGTATCAACCTGTCTCGCAAAGGCACCTTCCAGGATGTTAGTGACCGCCGACAGTACCTTAGCATCCAAAGTGACGAACCCTTCCGGGTCGTGAAGATCTTCTTCCTTGACATCTTTCTCCCAAACCTTGGAAAGCCACGAAAAGGCATCATCAGGACGATCGGATGCGGCAACGACCGCTTCACGAACCCTTAGCCTCCAATTCCTGTAGCTCTCAGGTTGCGGGAACTTGGGGAAGGTAATCTTCTCAGCTTCTTTCACTTTGGGCTTGTCGTCTTTCTCGGGTTTTTCACCACGGTCACCAACAGCTTCACTCATCCGCTTAAGGAGCTTCTTCATGGTCTTCCTATCAATGCGGGATGATGAAGAACTCGAATCATCAGAGCTACTGCTAGAGCTAGAAGGGGAAGACGAAGGATCTCGCCTACGTCGCCTGCGCGACTTCTTCTTCTTATGCTTCTTATCCTTCTTAGACTTCCGACTGCGACGATCATGATCATCATCGCCTCCGCTGGGGCCGTTGCCATCAGGCCCGCCGCCACCACCACCGCCACCTGGGCTGAAGCCATCTGGAGGGGTTCGCCTCCCGGCGTCCGTCGCCTGTTCTGTAGGAGTGTCACCTCCATGCTTCGGGGTGGAAATGGGATGCACGGGAATGCCGGGTGGAGGCCCTTGCGGAATTCCCTCTTGAATCCTCAAAGCAGCATCTCTAGCTTCGAAATCTCGAACCCTGGAGCTCAATGAACTATTCTGCTGAATCAATACTTCTGTCTGCTGACGCTGGGCTTGAAGCTGCCTCATCAGTTCGTCCATCCGAGATGACATGTCAGCGACCTCATGGGATCGCATTGCATCATTCTGACGGGCAGAAGTTTCCACTTCGCGAAGGCGCCTGGCATTGCTGTTAGCTTCCTCTAAAGCTCTACGGGCAGCTTCCGCTTGCCGATTGGCTTCAATGACAGCGAGTTCCCTCGCGCTTTCGGTTTGTTGGAAACGAACTTCACCTTGACCCATTTCAGACCTCTGAATCGACAACGCAATGTTAGCATTGCCTAATTCGTTCCTCAACTTGTTCACCTCTGCAAGCCCACTATTGTACATTGCACGGAGCTGCTCCTGATGTTCTGCTCCCAATTCGCCGATAATCTGATTGTGTCGTGCCTCAGCGGCAAAGGCGACCATCGGAGATGCATCCTGATTAATCGTCAACTGCCTGGCATCGACAACCTGAAGGTTCTGGGTAAGGCTTGCTTGATGATAGTGAGGTGAATAGATTGGTGTTGATGGGCTGGGCAAGCCCGTAGCATGAGCCAATGGTCCAGGTATTCCTACCGGAGTAACAGGTGCAATAGACGCTGGCGTAGTAGGGACACGTTCTCTAAGCAACGAATCATTCGGAGAGTGCGCTGCATCATGTGACATGATCGCCAGTCCGTCATTCGGCAAATGACTATCACCTGTTGGCATTAATGGAGGAAATCCTTGATCACTTGCTTCATCAGTTGCCAATGTCATATCTGAGATACCCGTTGGCACTGGCTCGGCTGTGTCCTCCATTCCGGTGTTACCTGCAGGATTTCAGGAGCGACCTGGAAAAGGATATGGCTCGACTAGGCTACGGCTGATAACCTATAGATAGTGCACGATAGCACGAATCGCACACACACTTTTGTCTTGAGCCAAGCAACAGTAAAGGTCGGTAGACATACGTACAAAGAGCAATAAAACAGGTTTGGGGGTTAGGGTTTAGGGGTTTAGGGTTTAGGGTTGCTTAAAGGATCATGGGACTTAGTAACTAGGGTTATTATTAAGGAAACTATACCTATAATTACTTATAACCCCACTTCAGTTACTTAGATCCTTTAAGTAGTTCATGGTTGGGACAGGATCAAAAATCTACACTCTTATTCCTTTTTTGGGTGGGCTTAAGTGCATCTTTATTCCTTATTGGGTTTAGGGTTTAGGGTTTAGGGAATGTTACTCAACTATGACAAAGGCACCGGCATCGGGAGGGCGTCGCTGCGAAGGCACCGGGCCACGGGACCTATATCCCTTCCTCTTACGGAAAGCTGCGGCGCAGAGGGTTGCGAGGGCTTGAGGGTTTTAGGGCTTTACAGCTTTAGGGCTTTGGAGTTTTAGGGTTGAAGGTTTTAGGTTTAAGCATCTGACGCAAGTCTTGAACCCTAAACCACTCAAGACATGGGAAAGATCCCTCCCAGAATCGCAACCTGAGCGAGCAATGGTACACAGAACTATCGGTGGTCTGGTCATAGGAGGCTGCAACAACCTCAGGACGAGGGCAACCCAGCAGCCTACTTGCAAAATCATGGGACTTAGTATGGTTATGAGTACCTTGATTATAACTAACTAAAAGTAAAGTCTTCAGACAGTAGCCGATCTTTGGAGCACGCACAGCCAGTACAGGATTCGGCTGTACGGAAACTGTGAAACTCACCATAATGGGCCGTCTTGACCCACGATGCAACCCGGTCCAATATTATTAATATGTTACTCACATTCTGAGCTTCAGCTGAGGGGATCATGGGACTTAGTAACTAGGGTTATTCTTGGGGCAACTATACTTATACTTACTTATAACTTCCAATCAAGGTACTTATAGCCATACTTGCTGCGTCCCATGATCCTGAAAGAGGAGGTGAAGCTCGGAAGTCTGGCTCTTAAAGACTCGTCACACAGCACCTATGAACCCTAAACCCGAAAGACTCTAAACTTTAAACCCCCTTAGCCTAAACCCCAAAAAGGAACTCAGAGTAGATAGTATAAGCCACAAGCCATTTTAGCCAGCCTTAAAGGAAGCCTAAGCCGCATCCGCAGAGAGCAGCTGCAACGCCTTGAACTGTCGCAGCTTCTCGGTCCTGCCCATGCCCAGCAGCTCCTTGCCCCGAAGGATTGCGGCACCAAGGGTTTAGGGTTCCTTTAAAGGGATCTATAAGGGATCCTTAAGGGTTCCTTTAAAGGGATCTATAAGGGATCTCCTACTTAGAGGGGCAGGGGACTTAGTAAGTAGGTTATAAGTAGAATTATAAGTACCCTAAATGAACTTACCCCAACTATATCCCTACTTATAACCTACTTACTAAGTCCCCTACCCCTCCAAGTAGGGTTTAGGGGTTAAGGGTTTCGGGCTTAGGGTTTAGGGCTTAGTGTTTAGGGCTTAAGGATTAAGGAAATCAGGTTTACGATAAGGTTACTGCAAGCACAAAAACATAGGTCGAAATGGCTAGAAGAGTGTTTTGGATTGGATGCATTACACTTGTTTGTGTAGAAGAGACTAAAGGTGATGTTGATAATAATACTCCGAACCCTATATTTTGGGACCGAAGGCTAAAGGCCCTGACTATCTAGGATGAGTCTGACTGGACCCAGGAAACCTGCAACTGCTATTCATCCCCGAGACCTTTGTCGGCGGTTACAGTAGCGTTCCCGATTCGACTGTCAACATCTGAGACACCGGTCAGACATCTAATTCTTCAAGAGTTTCAGGGTTCAAGGTTTTAGGGCTAAGGGCTTGGGGGCACGAGGACTTGAGACAAATGCTTGCCATGCATCGTTGCGCCAGATGCGAACTTCATCACCGTACTTATCAGGTTCCGTTCCCTGCTCCACATCCTCGCCGTAGGTATACCCAAGGTCCTCTAGGCTGCGGCCATCCGCGCTGTGTGACTCGTCAATTCTCATCACCGTTGGCAAGACGACCTTCAGCACCATAGCCTCCAGAGCAGAACACACGCTTCATTGTGCTAGCAAATGGGACAGCAGTGTAGCTGTCGTCGCCGTAGTAGGGGTAGCAGCAGTCGTCGTCTTCTTAGGTTGCTACTGCTGCTGCTGCTGCTGGAGCGATGACGTTGGTGGTGGCATCGCGGCGGCGGTGGTGGTGGCATATTAGTAAGGTAACTATACTTATAAATGCTCACAACCCCAATTGAGGTACTTACAACCATACTTACTAATTACTAAGTCCCATGATCCTCCAAGTGGTGGTTCTTCCGACGGTTCTCGTGGGCTTTGCGGTTGTCGCGGAAGGAAAAGCTGGTAAATTATAGTATGCTACATATAATACTTTTATAGTCTATTATAGTAAATTATAGTATATTATATGGCTGTAGGAAGACGTGCTGAAACAACAGAAAAGCAATGCTGGCAACAACTGCGAGCGATACAAAGACATGACAAGAGCCATGACTTTTGTCACAACTGTCGGCCCTGTCGTCACGCAAAACAATGTGAGCGCATGGTTTGCAACGCATGCAAACAGCGGAGGGTCCCAAGCGATTAACTACAGTAGACATCAGGAGTAAAAACACCGGTATTCGGAGCATAACCACTGCCAATGACGACGCATCGTCCGCACTAGCCACGAGTAGTGGCCCCCGAGTCATTACCTGTACGGTTACGTAGTTTGTTTTTAACACTCCTTTTCCGCCCCATGACCTGTACGGTTCGGGGCTTAGGGTTACAAAAGGGGAAACAAGACAAACCACTCGCTGGTTGCCTGAGCTCTGCCATATCGATTCAAGGGCCAAGGCCATATGGGAGTTTCCGAAAATAGGGGGTACCTTGTTTTGGGGTCCCGAAAATAAGGATCCTACTATTTAGGGTACTAAACTAGGGTCCCCTATTTTCGGAAACTCCCATATCGATTCAGGGGTCACGACCATATTACCTGAGGCAAGGCAAAAGGATCCCCCTGAACCTTAGACCCGAAACTCTAAGCTCTAAACCGTGAGTCTCTAGACTCCAAACCCCAAACTCTAAACTCTACATCCTAAACTTTAAACCCTAAGCATTAAACTCTAAACTATAAACCCTAAACTTTAAACCCTAAACTCTAAACTCTAAATCCTAAACTCCAAAGGCTAAATCCTAAACTCTAAACCCTCCAGCCGATGGCCTGCATATCGTGGGTAAAAACCGGCAGAGGCGGCCAGAAGGCCTCGGTAGAGGACTGCTTCTCCGCTTCGCTCCGGAAAGCCTCGGCAAGGCTTAGATCTTCGGGTTGCTTAAAGGGATCTAGAAGGATTCCTAGGGGTTCCTTTAGAGGGATCTATATGGGTTCTTTAAAGGGATCTATACTAGGGGTTCAGGGGTTTAGGGGCTAAGGGTTTCGGGCTTAGGGTTTTAGGGTTTAGAGTTTAGGGTTTAGGGTTTAGGGTTGGGGGCTTAGGGTTTAGGGGTTTAAGGTTTTGGATCAAACCTAAACAAACTAGTAGTTTCTGATATTCTACAACACAAACAGCAGAAGCATGTAGAAAGCGTGGGAAAGAAACAAAATGTTGAAAGTGTCTCAGCTGATCAACACACATTGCAAAACTTTCAGCTTTTGACATGTTTCCCACAATCGCAAGGACATTTATGAACTTGAATGCCAAAGCCATCGCCGCAAGGAACTCAAGGACAACAGGATCGACAACGGCAAAGTTATGAACACTACCCCCCATTGTGTTTAGACACATTCCGAAGCTGGAAGTATTAAACTCTGAAAGCCAGTTCAAATGGTATGCACTGGCAACATGTGCGATATCATCCTAATGCTCGGTCCCACAGTGTTAGAAGCCAAAAAGGAAAGCATCAATAACAGCAAAGAACCTGGGAAAGTGCTACAGAAACCACAATTCCAGAGACATCCCGAACAAAAAAGAAATAAACTCGGGCGGACACGAAATAAGCAACAAAAACAGTCGAGATCAACATGAACCATTAACAAGCACACATACAAGAAACAATAAGCACGAACACCTGCAGTGCGGAGAAGTCAGAAGCAGCAGGAGTGAAAAGGCGATGGGCGGCAGGTCAGCCGCCTAGCAAAAACAACCCCAATATGGGAGCTTCCGAAAATTAGGTATACCGTATTTCGGGGTCCTTATATTAGGGTCCCCTATTTTCGGAAACCCACATATTTATCTTAGCAGCGGTTATCAGAAAAGCACAGCAACCCCTGTCGCACCTGTATCCAGCAAGAAAATCAAAAGGCCCGCTCATGCTGACCAACAGAATGCGTACATACCAACAAAACACTGAAACAGCAACAGCCGGCAAGACAACTACCTCGACACCTGCACGAACAGTAGCATTCATGTCAAATCCTAAACCACGCTAAACCCTTAAACGCTTAACCCCTAACCTTGCCCTCAAATCCCTGAAGCATCAACCCTTACACCCTGAACCGTAAACCCCAAAACCTAAATCAGCCCAAAGCCCTGGGCCAACACCAAACCGAGCCCCAACCACCACCTCAGCCTAAACAGCGTGAACACCTGAATCTTTGAACTCCAAACCCCTACAAGGCACTAAACCCTAAACCCCTGAACCCTAAACCTTGAAGCAACCCTTAAAGGAACCCTTCAAGAAAGCCTTAAAGGAAACCCCCAAATGAAACCCAAAAAAAAGAGCTGCTCAGGATCCGCCCCAAGCGCTTCATCCTGATCCGGATCTGTGGCGTCGAGCACGCCATTGGCGCACGCGTCGGCATACCAATACTGGATCCCACGATCATCCCACTGGTTCCTCAAACTTCCCTAAACCCTAAACCCCAAACCCTAAACTATAAACCCTAAACCCTAAACCTTTGTGGGGTTTAGGGTTTGGAGGATTTGAGGTTAGGCTGCTCGTGTAAGGTTTAAAATGTGTAGGGTTTAAGATGGGCAATCCTAAGTGTTTATTTAAGATTTCTAGAAAGGCATTCTTACAAAAAATCCAAGGTTTTCAAGCCAGCAAGACTCCTGAGCAAGAAGTATTGGCGGCTGTAAAGGTGCTTCGGCTCATTCGGCTCACCAACCGCGTAGCACAAAGTCGGATATCCGCCTGCAGATCGAAGGATCCATATTTTGCACTCGTCCAGAGACCTCGGCACGATCCCGCTTGAGAGAGCAATGCTTTAAGACCAGCTCATAGCCGAAAGCTCTAACACAACCCGTGCTACCAAGTGCAACAGAAGGCGTGGCTCGTCTGGGAAACTTCTTGGCATAGAAGCCCCACCACGACGTGTTGAACAACTCATCATCGGCAGCATCCCTCAACGTCTGCAAGTTTGCCTGTCAGCTTCGGCGAAGCGTTGAACGTACTATCAGCCTTACAAGTCTCGAAGTCCTAACTTTAGCTTCATTCCAGACGTTGTTCCTGTTCGTTCACGCGAGAACCACTATTGCCATTGCCATCTCCATCATCCTATATCACCACGTTCATCCTGAACGTAGGCATCAGCACCGAAAATTTGCGCAATCACGTCTGCTTCCTACTACCCGATTGCCATCGAGATGGTCACGGTTTTCCTTCATTCGCCCCATCTCTTCTGCGAAGTTTAACGGATTACACCAGAAAACTGCCCTAAACGCCGGCCCTGAACCCTTCTTCAACAGCCTTGATCTCCCTGGCACTCCTGTTGCAACCACCGCTCGCAGGCATGCACGCCAGATGACGAGATCATATCTGTATATACATATACAGATACGGATGCATATGCATATACACATACATACACATATGCATAGACATATACATGTACATATACATATGCATATACATGTACATATACATATACATATACATATACATGTACATGTACTTGTACATGTACATGTACATGTACATGTACATGTACACACATACATACATACATATATATATATATATATACATACATACATATACATATACATATACATATACATATACATATACATATACATATACATATACATATACATATACATATACATATACATATACATATACATATACATGCACATATATGAACATGTATGCAAGAATCTGCGATTTGTAAGATAACAAGAAACGCAGAACAAACATAAGATCCTCTGCTACGACGATGACTCGTACAGTTGCGAAGCTTCTACCAGTCCGACCGTTCGGAACATGACTATCTTCATCTGCGTCATCTGGGCTTGAACTGCATCCCCGGCTGAGCCCCACACCAGTTTTTCATCTAGAGGGTCGAGTGCTTTTGCCGGTCCAGCTATTCCATCCAAAGCCGCTTGGATTTTGCCTTTCTCCTCGTGGCTCAGCCCTGACACGATGTCAGAAAGCTGCTGCCTGACCACGTCTCACAGAGCACAAATCCTAAACCCTGAACCCCAAACCGTATGCTGAGACGTCTCCTGTACAACAAGCATCCAGGCCGGCCCATTCCCCAAATCTGCAACGTCCAAGTCTTGAACTCTCCCTAAGCCCTAAACCTTTAAGCCTAAATCCTAAAACCCCCAGCCGCGGGGCGATGAAGCATCACCCAGCTTTTCCGACAGCTTCGATGATGCCGCAGAGCCCATTTCACACGCAGGGCTGCAGCCTGTGGGCAAAGCTACGAAAGACGGCGGCCTTTGAGCCTCCGACAACTTCACGGTCGCAAATCATGCGGACAGCAGGTCCTTTAGGGTCAGTGCTTGGGTTCTGGGGTTACAGTTTAGGGTCCAGGGTTTTAGGTTCAGGGTCCACAGCTTACATGAGCAAGTTAAACCAAACACATTGCGAACATCTCGATGGAAGCTAAAGCCGCGGCGAGGCTCAGCAACGCACCCTGCCGTGTCACGCTAAATCAGATGAAAGAGTAGGTTCAAGGCTTGGGGTTTCGCCGGGTGTTCTCCAGCAACGGTAAACAAAAGAATCACACTATTCAGCTCACTCCCGTACAGTCCAAAGCTTCTATCGGCCGTCAAGACGAAGGTCGCTAGCAGCAAGTATCAAGACAACAGGAGCAAAATGGACCAATCCATCTTCCCGCATATGAAAAGCCGACACTGTTGCTGTGCACCAACATTGGCCTCTGCTGTGGTTGGTTTATGCTCATCGACATCAGCAATCCTGCACGCTTAGCACACAATGCAGCTTGCTTGACCGCCTGCATGATTACTATTCAGTGACTATCACGAACCGGTCACTTCGATGGTCTGTTCTTTCACGCAGGTTCAAATCTCAGGCGAGAAAGCCGTCTCCAACAGGTTTGATTCGAAGTGAACATGTGTGAGCGCTGCAACGAGCCAAAAAATGCTCATGGGAACGGAAAAACCGCCTAGCAGCCTGCACATGCCATAAAAGGAGTTCAGGTTTCGAATTACACGAACAAACCACAACTTCGGTAGGGTGTGTGACAAAGCTCATGCGTCAACAAGACCGCATGACAGCCTGTTGGACCATTGCATCGTCCGCGATGCATGGTCCCTTCATGTTAAACACACGTTCAAAAATGTGGCAGAAGTTTCGACCGAATACGACTGAATTCTTAATATCTCATGCTCGTTTAACACTCATCATCGCAATGTAAACATTTCGACCAAAAACGCCACAATCTCTTTTGCAATCACGCTTGTTCTTCAAATCGTTAATGCAAAGATCCAAAAAAGCATTGCAACTGAAAAAATGCTTCACTTTTCAAAAGTGCGAAGCATTGCGAAACTGCGGTGCAAATAAAAAATTGTGTGTTTGCTTGCAATGGCCTTGGTGACAGTGGCTGCTGTTCTTGCAAGCGACAAAAGCAAAAAGCTGCAGCACGGCGGAAGTGGAAAGAGGTCGGCACTCCCGACTATCCGGCAAATGAACGCCACTCCACTCAAACTCCAAGTTCTCATTTGCCCGAAACCAAAAAAACGTTGAAGCCAACGTCCGTCAGCTTTACAGGTGCGACTCATATCTTCAAACAAAGAAACATTGCAACTCAATGCTGTGACACTGTCGGGCCACTCCATTTGTCGGATCCACAAAACGGAAGCATTCTAGCTACATACAGCTAGGACGGACCTCCACAGTTGTAGTTCCAGCCAGGCGATCGACGCGAAGCTCCAGGTGCTCCCGCACTGTGCATATCCGACAAGATACAGGCGGTTGTTAGGGCTCAAGCTCAGATTTGCAGCTCCAAAAAACGTTCCCGTCCAAAGACAAGTCTCACAATTTGGAACCAATTTAACGGGCTGGAACCATAACCGGCCGCCGGCCCCAATTTTTGATCTCATACTCTTGTGTGGGCTTCACCCATGCTTTCCAGACTGCTACAAAGTGGCTGTGTGGAAAGATCAAGTTCCGAGCACGACCCGTTTCAAAGGGAGAGCTCCCATGTGTCCCACGCTTTCCGCGTAGTTTGTGGGCCGGAAGATGGGTCCGCGCAAAGGTGCAACTGTCAACACTCCAGGCCACTTGTAAACATGGTCAAACCCACCCAAACCCCTTCTAAACATGATCAAACCCACTCAAACCCAGCCCAAACCCACCCACACCCCTTCCAAACATACGAACGAGACCAGCAACTGCTGTAGAGCAGCCAAGACAGCAATGACGACTTTTGACACAGGTGGACAGGTATTAAAAGCCGCCGGAAGCATTCAATCCGGCTGCGCTTGAAGGAAAAGTGTCGCAATGGAGCGACTGGGCGTTTACATCAAAAACCTACAAGCATTTATGGATCAAGATTTCCTTGAAGACGCAAAAAGCTAAAGGAAAAGCAGCAACGATCCGACAAGGAGGTCCATTCGTTCAGGAAACGAAGGAAGGAAGACAAGAGGATTGAAGCTTCGGTGCTAAGTGGCTACCTGAATCAAGAATCACTCAAGCTGTTACGAAGTGCACAGAACAGACACGGACTCGAAGAATGGAGAAAACTTGCGGCATAACTGGAGCCAAGTTCAAGATCAAGAAGTTTAGCAATGGCCCAGACATTGGTTGGGTTCCCGGCCATGAACAAAGGAGCATTGCTGATGGACTTGAAAAGCGAGTGTCAGAAACCAAAAGATTTGCTCAGCAAAGTATCGTGACAACTTGAAAACAGGTACGTTCTTTGAGGGGAACCCACAGAATCTCAAGCAGCACATTGTGGTAGATATTTCAGAGAGGACACCTACACGGAGCGAAGAACGAAGTTGCTGCAGTACGACAGAAGCAACCAGACATGGTTGGCAGAACATGTTGGGAGCTCTGAGCGTGCAAGCCCCGACCTCGGACGGAAGCACAAGCAATACCAAGGACCAATCCCAATGGAGCTGGATAGAGTTTGGCAAAGAAAAGGAAAAGCTGAGACAAAGGCAAAGGCGACAAAGGTGAAGGCGGAAAGGGAAAGAAGATAAGGGAAAAAGCCACTATGGTTGCGGAGGACACAGAAAAAAGATGAAAAGTATGGAAGAGGAAGTTGGGAAAAGGAAAAGGAGGAAAAAACATCAGACAAGTGGAAGAAAAAGGCTACGCAGATGAAACTGGGGAAGAAGATTGGAACAAATGAAAGACAGCAAAGCACGTTGTCCCAGGCAATAACGGCACAGCAGCAAAACAAAACGAGCAAGTTCAACGATTAGTGCACCATGCCTTTCCTTAAAGTATTTTCCAAGAAGTTGCACAAGATCGCAGGGATGTGAAGAAGACAGTGGTAATGTTTGCCCACTTTGCTGATGAAGACGACGAAGGTGAAGACTGTGAAGATATGAACTGCACGTAAGATTCCAAGTCCAGATCTTTTTTTTGCATGTGTTGGCCTTGATTGCATTGGAAGTTCTCAATCGCCACAAGAAGCAAGCAAGGAAAGAAAACTCACCAAAAGCGGTAAAATAGGCTGCGAGCAGGCCTTGCCGGCAGGAGCGTCTGCAGCACTCGGTCCCTAGAAACACGCAAATCAACAAACACAAAAAAATGGCGGTGAAACGGAAGGCTACTTTGCAGAAAGTTACGTAAGCAAACTGCGGCGTGCGAATTTGGTCAGCATGCGTTCAGTGCGATGAAAAAGTTTCTCTCAGCGACTACAAGCTGACAACAGTGGGCCGGCGCCCAAAGCCGCCCCAAAGATGAAGCCCAATACAAAGCTTCGACAGCCGTTCTAGTTGTGTCGGACAATGGTCTGCCCCCATGTCATGTTTTTGGCAAGTCGTGCACACTGCGGCCTAAACCACACAAGGTAGCCTTCAGAACTCGTTGGCTGGTTTGCAGTCCACCCAAACTGTTCGCCTTCAACTCCGAACCCAATTGTTCAAAGCGAAAAAAATTAAAAAAGCAGGAAAAACAAGGAATAAATTCCACGAAACCTCTCAAACAAATAAAAAGAATCGAAAACCTGAAAATGGAAGGTCCTTCTAACCTTCTTCCTTTTTGAAAAAAACTTCTCCGTCTTTGACATTGCTTGAGGGGACAAAAATGAAAAAAACAGAAGCAGAAACAAAAAAATCAGAGACATGTTCTTCAAAAAAACTCAAATCAGGTTGCAAACTAGATTTTACAGATTTGGATTTGAAAGACCGCAATGCAGGTTCAAACGCAATTTAATCCAGGTTCCAAACCCAGGTTTCAAATCCAGGTTCAACCCAGACTTAAGGGAGGCTTAAAGGAGCAAACATCAATGTGCGCTACGGCGATCTCTGTCATTTCGATTTCTCAGCGGATCCCGTCTATCAATTGACGGCCAGTGACATTGATCTTGTTCTGATGACGGCGACAGGCATGCAGGCCAATTTGGTTGTGATTGAACATCACAACTGGCAGAAGCCGCGCAATACGACCGTGCGGGTGTGGTTCAAGCGTGTGGAGAGCGTCGCGGACCAGATTGCGCGCCATCGCGACTGGAAATGCGAGTGGCCGCCAGGGATATGATAGAGTGGCCCTGCCTCGGAGGCTACAGGAGCGCCGTGAACTGCTTGTGGCACTGCCACTGGCTGCCGGGTGTCCCCCAAGCCTATGTACCTTTTTTTGGCTTGACTGGGCCTCGTCGACTACGGCTGTAGCACTCGGTCCCTACAAACAGACAAACAACTAACAAACAAACTACAAAAAAGCGGTGAAACAGAAGAAGCTCTACGAATGGGCTGCGGCGCACGGGTTTAACCTGTGTTGGCCGTTCAGCGCTAACTACGGAGCTTCAGCGACCGGTCCGGAGCAACAAAGAGCCGTCGCTCAGTGCCGCCCAAAACAACAGGTGGAGCCAAGACCAAGCTCCGGCAGCCGTTCTAGTCTCGCCAGACAACGGACAGCCCCTGTGTCTTGTTCCGTCACGATCGCGCACACCAAAATCCAAAAGTCCAATGCTCCCGTCGGTGCATGAGCGGCTTCCAGACTTGCGGTGGCCAGGGTCGTGCACCTCAAAGCCGGCCAGACGCTAACGCACGCCGAAGGGCGAAAGCGAAGGAGCCACGGTGTGCAAACAATGGCGGCTTGGATGCAAGGAACGACGGCGACCTAACGCTGCCACAGCACGCTGCCGTGCAGGATGTGGACCGTGGGAAAGACTTGTTGTGTGTCGAAACCCAATGCAGTGCAAGCGGAGGAACGCCTCGAGGTTCCAAGAATGGGTCGCCCAGTAGAGCGT